GTCCCAAAATAATTAGTTTTTTTTCTTTTCCCTTATTTGAATTAGATAGAAGTATGATATATTTACTGCACTATGTAGGGAATGTACACATGTGTGCTGGTACTGTGGGGAGGCTGGCATCCATGCAACTATGTGTTTGAGGTTCCTTCGCCGTTCACATGTGAACTGAGACAGTACAATCAGGGCAACTCCTGCCCCTCTCGATGAGATCCTGTCTTTCCGGAAGATGCTAAACTTTTGGGTGTCAGCAATTTGTCCTTCGAATATTGTATCATCCAACCAGGTTTCTGAGACCCCAAAGATTGTGTTCGGCGAAGTTTCAAACAAGACAACGAGGTCCGAGTTTGTTCTTGATGGATAGAGCGTTTGTATACCGGATGCCGATGTGTCGCCGCTTCCTCGGTGCGGGAGGAGTACGTCGGTTACTAGCGTCACTCCGTTTTGTGTCCCGGGCGATGGGCCTGGCAGTTTCGTGGGGGGAAGGGGGGGGGGGTGGGGGGGGGGGGGGGGGGGGGGGGGGGCACGACACCGGTGGATATGGGTGCGGGGTGCGAGTCATCGGAGGGAGGAAGCTGGCATGAGCCACAAAACCAGTGCCCGGCGAGGAGGCCAAGCATCGGTAGGCGAGTAGCGACAGCCCTTCACACTTCCCATGGAGCCACCAATCACACAGGTCACATTTTAGGGCGGCCACGTTGTTGTAAACCGCTTTCTCGCAGCTCGGGGAGGTTGGCGACGGCCTGGGATTTCGATAGATGTTCCCGGCAATCAGCATGAGTCATGCAATCGGCGCAGTCGTCCAGGCAGGCCTAACCGCGATGAAGCGGATGTCCGCACTTTCAGAAGTGAGAGAAGCCGCCGCGCGGAGTTGAGAAGCATTGTGCACCTCATCGGAGTGTTCCCGGAGCTCGACTCTCTGTAGAGAGGCGACCAGCAGAAGTTGCAACCATGTCCGCAAGCACGTCATCCCTGAAGACTATAATTTTGCTGAAAGGTTCCACCACCGTATTACACATATGTGCGAAATCCCGTCAAATATGCTGAGAAACTGTTTGATGCGGTCTCTCTAAAGAGCCAACGAAACGTTGTAAATCTCTTAGTACAAACACAAAACACGGCAGAGACGAAAAGGGTACCTTTGAACTTGAAGCAAGCCCATGGTCAACACACGCACTGCACCGCACAAAAAGACCATCCGTGTGCGCTACTTTTAGAGCGTTAACAAGCAAAGCAAGGCGTAAATGAGTAAGAATCGTTCCGTAGAACCCGTAGAACCAGATCACAACAGCCGCCATCACAACCCTAAATATACAAACACAGTGCTGCTAGACTTCTTTTCTTTGGTTTTGTGAGTTTGTCGGGTGTGTAAATAAGTAAAGTCTGATGAGTAAATTTATTAATACTATACACTACAGATATTTTCTTCTTGATGTGTTCTACTTTTAAGTCACAAAATAAAATATAATATAATTTATTAACTACAAAATGCATACACGGTTGGTTTAGCCTATTTTAGACCAATGGCTTAGGTTGGCAACATACGTTCCCGCCGGTTCAAGTGGTTCAAGTATGGTTTAAGTTTGGTTTAAGCGGTCTAAGTTTAAGTTTGTATCGCGGCTCGCACAATTGTGGCTCGCACGGTTCTGACCTGACAACCGTGGCTCTGAAACATCGTGAAGACAAGTTCTAGTAGTTACGGTTCGAAGTGCCTAACGGTCAGGCTGCGTAATCCCACTGTGGCACCGACGCACCTGCGTACCCTGCGTGAAACGTAAGTAGCGGTACCTCATTTCCTTTAGTGATGCTGCTCACTTGCTTAACCGACGGGATCTCGCATATTACGTTTGTGGGTATTCCTGTCTCGGGTACCCGAAATCGGGACGGCTCCTTTGGAGCCTTTGGATCCTTTGGAGGTCGATATCTGACCTCAACAATTCCGTCTAGGACCGGAATTCGGTGCCGGTCCTAGACGGAATTCAAGGCGGTGCGTTGTAAGTGGCAGAGCTTCGCTTTAGGGTGCCCATTATTACCTAAACCTCGCACATGCTCGTGAATGTGCGAGGCTGGTTAGGTAATAATAGACAAGAGTAATTATTTGAGGGCTCTACAGTGATTATTATTTTGAAGAGCGAAGCGCTGCCACTATGACCCGGACGAAATCCGGACAAAATTTTCTAGCGCAACCAATGACTATGATAAGTGGGCAACCATGTTCGCCGATTGCGCGCGATTTCGGTTACGCCAGACTGCGCGACTCGCGATGCATGATATCCCTTTGTGATTGAACGGTGCTAAGAGGAAACGATCTCCTGGTTCGTAAAATGAAGCGACAGAGGCGAGCATTTGATGACGTGTGCGACCGACAGAAGAAAAGAATTATTGCCGAAAACGTGCGCGACCATCTTGCGGACATTTTTTCTAAGTCTGCTCCGGACGAGAGCGATGGAAATTCTGCGGTTGACGGATCAGACGACAGCAGTGACGGAGCCAGGGAGGGTCTGAGCGCACCGCAAGTCGACGATCCCAGAGATCCTTGCGCGAGCACATCAGCTTCCGAAGAAACTGAAACTCATTTGCCAATCTCAAGTGCAGATGAGTTTACTTTGGCAAGCGAGCTGGCCACCTGGGCACGTGAGACCAAAGCCTGCGCATCCCATCTTAGCAAGCTTTTAAAGATATTGAAGAAGTATCACCCGGAGCTGCCTAGTGACGCAAGAAGCCTAATGGGGACACCAAGATCTTGCAATGTGAAAAACATGGGAGCGTCCGGCCTCTACCACTATTTCGGAATCGAATCGTCACTAAAACGAATGATGAGCTCAGGCAGCATCACTGGAGACACCATTTCGTTGCTCATCAATGTTGATGGCCTGCCTATAGCGAAAAGTTCCAGCAAGCAGTTCTGGCCCATTCTTGCATCTGTCGTCGAAAGCTGCGATCCTGAACCTTTCGTCATAGCTCTGTTTGTTGGAGACAAGAAGCCGGAGAACTTGGATGACTACCTTACCGATTTCATTTCGGAGTTAAGCACATTGCTGGAAGAACACGTGACCGAGGGCGGAAAGGAGTGCGTAGTTCGAGTGCATGCGTTCATTTGCGATGCGCCCGCAAGGGCATTTCTGAAGTGCATCAAGGGCCATGGGGGATACTTCAGTTGTGAAAAGTGCACCCAAGAAGGCACCTTCTCTGAAAGCTGCCGGAAAGTAATTCTTCCAGAAGTCAGCAGCCCCCTACGAACAGACGAGTCGTTTCGAAAGCAGGATCAGGAAGGGCACCATCATCGACAGTCCCCATTGGTCGAGCTACAGATTGGCATGGTAAGCCAATTTCCCCTCGACTATATGCATTTAGTCTGCCTAGGCGTTATGCGGAGGCTTCTACTTCACTATTGGGTGCGGGGACGACCTCATCGATCAAAGCTCCCACCACGTGCACAGACTAGCATCTCAACAATGCTCATGAAACTCCAGAGACACACCCCTCGGGAGATGGCTCGGAAGCCCCGGAGTCTTCATGAATTAGAGAGATGGAAGGCCACTGAGCTACGAAACTTCCTCTTGTACTTCGGTCCTGCGGTTCTAAAAGACCACATGGAGAAGCGCTACTACCAGCACTTTCTCAAACTGAGCATTGCAGTGTCAATCCTGTCAAGCCCACGACTCTGCCATGAGGAGATTGATTCTGCAGAGAAGCTGCTTGAAGAGTTTGTTTCTGATGCTGGGGACCTGTACGGTGAAGGCATTTACGTGTACAACATACATTCTCTGCTGCATCTTACTGCTGATGTGCGGAGGTTCGGTCACCTTGACTCCTTCTCTGCGTTCCGGTTTGAGAACTTTCTGGGTCAACTGAAGCGAGATTTGAAGTCACCAAATCGACCATTACAACAGATTGTAAAACGCTTAGAAGAGCGCAGTCATGCTGACTTGCATCCTAGAATACCACCGAAGCAGCAGGCATTGTTGCAAAAGCCGCATAATGCCGGACCAGCACCTCCAGGATTTAAGGGAGAGCAGTATCACAAGCTAGTTCTTCAAGGCATGGTTCTGGAAGTGAACCTACCAGACTCATGTTTTCTGATGGAAGATGGAAATGTAGTCGTCGCAACAAATGTTGTGTCCCGTGATGGAGAGATCAAGATCTGTGGCCAGTTTTTCAAGAGATTAACAAACTTCTATGCCGGCATTGTTGACACAACTGGACTGTGTACTTTCAGGGCTTCTCAGGTTTCGTCTGCAAATGCTTTGTGGACTGTTGAACAGGTCAAATCAAAGTGCTGCTGGCTTCCTTGTGGGGGTGAATTTTTGGTTAAGCCACTCTTGCACACAGGATAGCTCAGATAAGCAATATCTGCCGTAAATGTGCTCTCACTTATAGTGTTGTTTTAATGAGTATATAATCATCACGAATAAAAATAAAGTGTGTGTGCTAATGTCTTTGGCATAAATTATGTCTTTATGCTAATAACTGCTAGGGGATTTTTAAGGACATTTCTTCTGATTATAAGGCATCTGTAGGTTGAAAATTGAGGGATTAGAAAAAAGCTGCTATAAATAGAACTGTTTATATGATGGAAAGACCAAAATAGAAAAGCTGTAAGGTGAATGTCTAATAAAAGGTTAGTTTTCTTTTGCTCATGATGTGTGCTCACTACTTTAGCTCTTTAAATGAATGATAATGTGATTATCCTTTGACTTGGTGATTACACGTAACTATTGTCCCAACTGATAGATATCCCAGCTAAGATGCCGCAAGTATAAAAAGACTGAACACTCTACGCCAGAGGTACACAACCTTTTCGGGACTGCGAACCCCCAAAGCTTCTGAGTGCCCTCCGGCGACCCCCGCCTTAACTATTTTTGGAGCTCTCCGAGGCTCTGTAGCCGCCAGACATTTCCCCACAACCTCCAGTCTGTGCACCTCTGCTCTACACAAGTGAAAACCACTATGTTGTTAGCAGGTGTCTTGCGAAACGCAAGAAAGACTTGGCAAACTTTTAAATATCAATTTTAAGACCAGCAGGATCAAGGTGTCAACTGGCAGGCTTTAGAAGTCTTGAGAAACAGCCAACTGGGGTGTTTTGAACACAATACACTTTGTTTGCTTCCTTTTCTAGCAAAGAAAGAAAGCCCATGAAATATAGGGTGGTTCAAGCCACCAGGCTCGATCTGAAATGGACCGTAAAAATCAATGCCTGCACGTAACAATCTAAACTTTTCGTCAGCGGTGTATTTCACAGGTCGGTTTTTTCTTGTAAAATTATAAAGCGTAGTTCTCGTTCTGTAAAAAATAAGGCCAAGAAACTTGCCAGGGTCTACGGCGGGCAGCGACGTAAACGAGAGGGGTTCATTAGCGGGATGTGTTTGGCATTCGTATCGATAGATGGCGTCGGGAGCAGCCTCCGAAGTTGCAGCCGACCAGTGAAAGAAAGCAGACGACACGCAGACGAAATCCGTTGACAGCAAAAGCGCCACCGTTATACAGACACGTTTTTTTTACTCTAAGTTTTGCTTTTATTGTCCGCATTTATTTTTTAACCGAAGGTACATTTCAAAAAGATTATGCCCATTTTAACAAACCACGGTGGTCACGAGCCGTTGCGATAAGGAGGGAGCGCCATCTATCAATACAAATGCCAAACACATCATGAGTTTTCTTTTGTTTTAGTTTTAGTAATTTTCACCTTCATAAACCATGTACACAGCATTCATATTTTATTTGGTTTCATCAATATTCGATTCATGTTTGATTTGGTTACATCACTATTTGCACACCCCTAATCTTGTTACTTCATAAAACTTGTAGGTATGCTCTTTACTGACGGTCTCAAATTGAATTTTCTAGATGTTCTCGGTCGCCCATTTTATGAAGACTGATGACGTGGCCGTGGTTCCAACACGCTGGATTAAGAACGGGACAGCTCCCTGGCCACCGTTTAAAAATACTGCAAAAGTGAACAGTGCAGTGAGGGACAGAACGGAGCCAGGCAAAGACTGGCCAAAATTTGCCTGCAGGGTCATGTCATATACAGGTAAGCTCCGCCCTGAACGCCATTAGTTTTTTTTTTTCATTCTGAAGAGAGCACTGCTCTATTGAAAGTTATTACAATCCACACTTTCGCAGAATCTACAAAAGAGAAGGGGGTTTGGTTGTGAAATAATTCTTAAAGTACATATCATATCTGACTCCCTTTTTTTAGTTACTATGGTAACGGTACTATAGACCTCCCACTGCCTATGTTAATAGGACACATTGGTAACAGCTTGATAGCTACAAAAAGGCAGCATATGCTTCATTAGCAGAAGCTACGTACAGCTTAGACAAAACTCAGCAAAATATAATGCCTCACATTCAACGCACATTTTTTATTAATTCATTATCTACATAACATCTGACTTGCAGACAGTTACGAAGTTGCCCGCAAGAGGTCCATAAAGGCGGAGGAAGAGTCCGACCTTACATCGGAAGCAGAGACATCGCAAAAAAGAATACGGCGACCTCCGACATTTTTCGATGACTACCTCACTGACAGCAGCGATGAGGAGGGAGTAACTGAAGAACCACCTCCAGAAGGTGACATTGAATTTCTCGCTGAGCCCCCACCGCCACCACCTCTTCAAAGAAAAAGTGGAGCACATTGTGGAGGAGCAGGCCAAACTGATGGTGGCAAGTCCTTTTTTCTTACACGTGTTTTGAAGGAAATGGTTTACATGAACAAATACTAGTGATAAAGTGAAATGCACAAGGTAATCAAAACAAAACTACAGATCATGTATTTCACACTTCGAATGTTTGTAATCTAGAGTTGAGAAAAGGCCTTCCTAGACCCACGTGCAGGCTGTTATGTACACAGTGCGACACTTTTAGCATGAACATGACATCGGCGCTTTTTTGTGCTTTGCTCAAGCTGTGAAACCCTTATGGGCCCTTTTCACCGCATTAGTAATTTTGGTGATATCACCTGATTTGTGTAAGTAAAGCGAGTAAACCCGACGATGTTGTGTTTGTGCTAACAGCGTCGCATAGTGTACAGTATGGGCATGGTATAGATCAGGGGTGGGCAAACCGCGGCTCGCGAGCCGCATGCGGCTCTTTGCTGGTCCAAGTGCGGCTCGCGGATCCCTCGTAAGAGGACTCCCCCCCCCCCTTCGCCCCTTTCCGCGTTTCCCCAAGAAAAAAAAGAAGAAAGGATTCCAGAATAAAGCACACTGCAGCTTGCAGTTTGACAGCCTTGTACTCCCATCCAAGGAAATACGCAACTGTGACATAGCAGTTCAACTGCTCATCCTTGTTATTACTTATGCATTGCTTGTGGTTTTTCAGATGACTTGGTGTTGCCCAAAGGAAGACCAAAAAGTGCATCTTCTTTGAACTGCTCTGCTGAACCTTCAAGCAAAGGCAAGTATATTTTGTGACTGACAGAAGAGTTAGGATGTATGTGCACTTTTGACACATGAACCTGTAAAAAGTAACTTCACTTAGTTACAAGTTTCTGGAAAATGTACCTAAAATACAGCAGGGGTGGAATAGCTGTACCATTTGCGCCAGACGCATATGTCTGCGCCATCCTGAAACATGTTGTGGAAACTGCGCCACAGCCAATACCTCGTGCCATTATGCACCAAAAGAATTGTATTTTGTCTTGGTTCCGGTTTTTATCGACCCGATTCGCAACAATGAGCGCATTTAGCTTGGTCGGCCTTGCACTCCTTTGCTCTGTTTATTCTCCCTGTGTATCTCGAGTCAGAAGCGCACGAAAAAAATTGGGGGTCAGACTCCAAGCGCTACACCACCTGCTTCTGGATTGTTATCCTTCAACCATAAGCGGTTAAAGGGCAACTCCGCTCAATTCCGAAGATTTCGGGATAATGAGTGATTTCGAATTAAAAAGCCCTAGTAAAACACACTACGTTGTTTGCTTTGCGAAAAGTGGGCTATATATTTTTAAATCTAATTTTAAACACGAGCTGAAATCGAAACCGAAACTTCGGCTCTGCCCGGCAACATTGGCCTCGGGCCGCCAAGTACATGGCCATCACGTGGTACGAGATGTCACGTGATCCTCGGCCCAACGACGGGCGGGATTGGGGCGGGCGTGTGGCAGGCGCGAGTGTCGTCTGCACCGCACTCTTCGCCACGTTTTGGTGTCTACGGCATTCGACGACGTCTGCACAACTGCGGCATAAGTCTGCGCACATGGTGTCCGTGGTGTGGATGAAACTCCGAGAGACAATAATCACAATCGGTGAGACGACGACGGCGGTTGTGACGCGGAAGACGGCGGTAACGGCGGGCGGCCGGACGGCTCCCAAGAAACGCGCTGCGCGGGCGCGTTACACCAATCATGTGGACACCGCTGAGCGCCGAGAGGCAACGTTGCTGACGTCATGCGCTACGCTCGCGCGGAGAAGTGAAAACAAGCAAAAGGGGGCCATGATAATGACGTTTAGCTCAATGTTGGCTCCGCCCATGCCATAGCCTTGACTGCGCTGTTGGTTGCGCCTGATCGCCCGCTCAAGTCAGCCGATTTCGACAACTTGGCGAGTTGCGAAGTTTGCCGGACCGTTTAAGAAACATTTAGACAGAACTGCGTCGTAACATTTCACTCGTGGTCTTCCTAGGCGATACTGAAGAGGACTGCATTGTTTTTTCAAAACCAAAAATGAAGCGGAGTTGCCCTTTAAGCACGTCAGCAGAAGTGAGGTCGAGTCGTTAAGAGTCAGATTGCCTGAGGCTCTGCGGCCCGGGATCCAGACTTCAGCCAGTTGAAGACAGGAGCAAAAGATTCCTGTTAGTACTTCATCGTTAAAAGTTGGAACCGCATTCCCACAAGATAAATCGTGATTTGATAGAACTGAAATGCGGTCCAATCCGAAACCTTGCCGGCCAGCAGCTCTCATGCAAGCGGTAGATCTGCTTGGCATACTTTAACCTTGCTCCTGCTTATCGCCTCGAATATGATAACTACGCTTAATCATAGTCTGCTGCTTCGTTATTGAGTTACACAATAGGATAAATTCGAAATTTATTGCCCTGTTCCTTCGCGCAACTGCACGTTCGTTGCTTGCGCACGTCACGTGATTCGCGCATGTAATTACTAAGACATAAACTGAAGTGCAGTGAAAACTTATCTGAGCTGCTCCTAGCCTGCTCCAGAATGTAGGTTCAGCTGCTCCCGTGGCTCCTCCCAAGTACATTTCATGAGTTCCAACCCTGTACAGATACAGATACCGAAAAATGAAAGTACCTAGGTTTTTATGTCAGGTACAACAAAGGTACCTAGATACCGATTTCGAGTTACTTGTACCTAGGTGCTTTACAACCCTGGCTGAGGCATGTCCTGTTTAAAAAAAAAAAAACTTTAGCCTTGTTGCTTTGCAGCATTGATGCATGCTGCACGTTGTAAGAATGGATAATTTGTTTGTGTAATTAAGCTAAGTGCTTCGGTAACGTGAGCAACAAGAGAAAAGTTTCTGTATCTTTAATGCTCTTACAGCTTTAAGCGATTAAAGTATTAACTCCTTGTCACCTTGAAAATGAATAAAGGCTTGTTTTTTTATCATCTTTATCGGAACACTCAATATTGATAAGGTTCTAACGTATTGCTCTTTTTTTTTTTTTTTTTTAGCTTTGGTCACAGTTCTTAGGGAACTTGAGTGTATTAAGGCACAGTTGACAAGCATGGCTACAATGTTGGCCAGAATACAGATGCATGTGAATGCTGATGACCCTACTGCCATGGCTGGTCCAGTCCATCCAGAAGACCTTCCAGTCTATCCAGTGAAGACAAGAGAGGAATTTGCCTTCCTGGAGGCTAGCTTAAAAAATGAAGCCATTTTTGCAAAGCTAGTAAGTTTCAAGTTGTTGTGCGTTACAGCCAAAGGTTATTATCCAGAACATACATGTACTGAAATAGTCATTGTTTTTCATCTTTCTTCTGTTCTTTGAGCAAGAGAAGCTTTTATGTGTGGCTTATTGTGGATAACTTTTGATTTCTAGGTGAAAGAGCTTGGCCAAATTGGAGGTAGAGATGTAGCCTCTACAACAAAAACGGTGTTTAAGAAACTTGTCGGAGATGAAGTTGCCGTCTTCTACAACAGAACCGGGCGAAACGGAAAGCAAGAAGCCGGGAAACTGAAGATCTTTAGCCTGATCTATGGTAAGAGTAATGTTTTTGTATCACTGTCTACACTATGGAGAGTAATGTGCTTGCATGCACCCGTCTTTTTTTTTTTTTTATTATTAAGTATTACTTTACAGTGATCGTTATAAAACTTCTGATAGCTGTGCATATTTTTTTCAGCTGCTGTACGTGTAACCCGCAAAACTGCAACAGACGACGAGATGGGCCGCGCCATTGGTGATTGGCTGCGCTTCGCCAACGTCCGGCTCCGTGCTCAAGGCAAGCAACAACCTAATCTTTGCAGGAAGGATACAAATACATTGAAGCTGATGATTAATCTAAAAATCTCCTGAGGCTTACAAAATGAAGAATGTAAACCATGCATGAGATCTGTAACACAGCGAAGAGTTCTATTGTACTATCGCTATACATTGAAATACAAAGAAGAGAGCTTGTGGCTTTCTACAAATGCTGCACAAACTGGCCACGAGCCAGCGAAGCTTGCACATGTGTAGTTCGACCAAGGACACTAGATTAATCTCCAACTCTTGAATGCCTTGACTGGTGCCTGGTGTGTAAGCAGTGTACTGAAAGTTATGCGCTTTGTGTTCATATTGCAATGTATTGCAATAGTACATGCTCACTTGTATCATTGCCCCTCCCAATCAAATGCACCAGCAGAAGCAGTGAGCACAACTACAAAATAACGAAGGAAGCTTTGTTTACAATAATTTCTTATTGGAAAAAAGTAAAAATTGGTTTTCTAACATACAGAATGTAGCAGCCGAATAAGAAAGTTCTGCACTCAGCTTGATTTTCTTTGTCTTGCTTTCCTAGAAAATAGGGCAGTAAAAGTATTTCTGACAGCCGTTTGTGGGACTGATTGTGTGTTGCTATTGGGTGAGGCCAGCTGAACATACAAGATGACAACACAGAGAAAATTAGACAAACACGATGCTGGACTAAACTGTTTAATGGAGTGCATTTTTATTCATTTACACAGGAGCAGGTTGGCCCCAGACGGGGCCAACTGGTTCTTTTGTAAATAAAGTATGTGGATGAAGTTAGTCCGGCATTGTGTTTGTCTCATTTTCTCTCTTCCTGTTTTTGTGCTGTAGGTTCATTTGGCCCCATCGACAAGCGCTGCACCAACAAGCTCAGCTCCGGGTCGTCACAAGGTGTATTTTGTCGCGTGTTTCAATGTTGGTTTGCTTGAGCAGGAGGACTGACAACTACTAGGTACAAGTGACTCAACAACAAATTAAAGGATTTGATAGCATGTTGGTGGGAGTTAAGAAACAAACAAAAGAGAGGCACTTATGACAAGAGATGCCACGGGTGTACAGTTCAACTAGCAACATCAATAAACTACCACAAGGCATTATTTTATTTTTGCTAGTTGAGAGATGTACCTGTGTTGTCTCTTGTCATAAGTGTTTGCTACTTTGTTTGTTTTTTGCAATCAATTCACTGTTTTAAGCACTTGAACAAGATTGTCATTTTCTTTTAGTTCGTAGTTATGTGGGAAATCAGGTCAGCCTTTTTGCGGCTCTATATGAACTCTCTTTCCCACTAGGATATTTCTAGTACACCCTAATTTCTTGAGGGGTTTCCAAACCTGCAAACCATTGTCACAAAGCTAAATTTCGAATTAAGCTACACTGTTATGTTTTCCACGTATTATGATCATTTGCCACCTCAAATTTAGTTTCCGGCACTCTGTATTAATTATTTTCTTGTTTTGTTTGCAGCCAGAAAAGTCGAAAACATCCCATCGACAGAAACTGTGGTTTGACTTGGGAAGATGAAAATCAGTTTGTTTCAATTTTTTTTTTTTCTGTCTAGTCCTGTTCTAGACTTTCTTCAGCCTATTTCATATTCTATTGTCATATTTTACTTTTTAAAGTGGCAATAAGGCTATTTAATGTCTCGACTTCTGTTCTAGTCTAGTGACAGGCTTTACTGTGGTTTGACTTGGGAAGATGAAAGTCTGTTTGTTTTAATTTTTTTTTTCTGTCTAGTCCTGTTCTAGAGTTTCTTCAGCCTATTTCATATTCTATTGTCATATTTTACTTTTTAAAGCGGCAATAGGCCTATTTAATGTCTCGACTTCTGTTCTAGTCTAGTGACAGGCTTTAGTCAGTCCTTTCCGGCTTTTCTTTAATACGATACCGTTTTAGTAATCAAGTTTTTCTAACTGCTTCTACACATGGCAATTGTATATAGTGCCAGCTGGACATAAAAGGATTAGAGAGAGATAAGAAAGACACACCGTTGGACTAGCAACTGTTTAATCAGATCATCTTTTTCTTCATCTACGTTGAGTTTCTCTTCTTTTTTATCTACACTGCATTTGATTTAATTGAGGAGTTCCTTTTCTTCTAGTCTTATACTCGAGCGTCTCCTCGTCTTCCATTTGTCCACCATGGGTGCGGCCCCTCTAAGATACTCACCTTCCTTGTGGTGTAGTGCGATGGAAGGTATACCCACACACTTGTCCGCTTTTGCGTCAATAGCAAAGGCCTCCAGGATTTCTCGAGTGAACTTGTGGCGGTTTCTTGCCAGGATGTTTAGGCTAGAAAAGTCTGGTACACACAGGCACATATGACAATGGGCAGGTAGGTGCTCTGCACGCTGTGGTGGCCTTCACCGAAGCTGCATGTTCTCTCGTCTAGTCACTGATGCACCTTCCCTTCTGTCCAATGTAACATTGACTACATGACATGGGATTTGGTGCACAACCTCCTTCTCACATTTGGTGTACTTGGCAGTTCATTTTCTCCTTGTTGGCCCTCTTGTTTACATGATGAAAAATTGCACACAAAGAGACAAGGGAAAAACACAGAAGTCAGAGAGGCGCATACTCGCAACTCTGGTATATTAAGTGAAGAAAGAAAAGATGAAGCACGATTCATGACGGGGGACATCAACACCAGGGGGTAAACAGTTCAGTCATAGTGAGGTGTTCGCAAAAAGGCAACTTCTTTTTCGCTCAAAGCAACCGACGGCTGACTAACGCAGAGATCGGTCAGACTCAAGATGGTGAACGCATCGAGCACCTCGCGCGTTTGTTTATCATTAAAGTGCCCAATGATTGAGATTTTTTTCTAAAGATGGTGTGCAGATAGAGGTCTTACAATGCACCAAAAGGTTGACCTCATACAGTTTATGATCGTGCTCTCGCAGCCAGTCATTCAAACACTTTCTAGTCTGTCCGACATAGCATCTTCCACAGGGAAGAGGAATGCTGTACACTACGCTCAATGAACGAGGAGTGAAAGGCTGCACATGTTTTTTGTGGCGCGTGTCTTTTTCGCTTTGGCGCAAACCTTAGAACAAATTTGTCACATCTTTTTAGAGGCTGATAATACTACGGGCACACCATACCTACTTACCACTTGTTTTAGATTATGCGATATCTTGTGTAGATACAATCTAAAACAAGTGGCAAGTAGGTGTGCTGTGCCCACAGTAATATCAGCCCCTAAAAAAATATGACAAATTTGTTTAAGGTCTGCGCCAAAGAGAACAAATTATAAAAAACACGTGCCACAAAAAACATGTGCAGCCTTTTTTTTCCTGTTCATCGAGCGTTGTATACAGCATTCCTCTTTCCTGTGGAAGATGCTATGTCGGACAGACTAGACAGTGTTCGAATGACTGGCTGCGAGAGCACAATCATAAACTGTATGAGGTCAACCTTTTGGTGCATTGTAAGACCTCTATCTGCACACCATCTTTAGAAAAAACCTCAATCATTGGGCGCTTTAATGAAAAACAAACGCGCGAGGTGCTCAGGGCGTTCACCATCTTGAGTCTGGCCGATCGCTGCGTTAGTCAGCCGTCGGTTGCATGAGCGAAAGAGAACTTGCCTTTTTGCGAATATTCCTCTGCGACTGAACTCTTAACCCCCTGGTGTCGATGTCCCCTGTCATGAATCGTGCTGTCTGTCTTCTGTGTTCCTTCCTCGTCTCTTTGTGTGCAACTTTCCATCATGTAAACAAAGGGACCAACAAGGAGAAGACAAACTGCAAGGTATCTCACGAGACCAAGCACACCGAATGTGAGAAGGAGGTTGTGTACCAAATCCCACTGTCATGTGGTCAATGTTACATTGGACAGACGGGAAGGTGCATCGGTGACCAGACTAGGGAACATGCAGCTTCGGTGAAGGCCACCACTGCAGCAGGGGACCTACCCGCCCATTGTCACATGTGCCGGTGTGTACCAGAGTTTTCTAGCCTAACCATCCTAGCAAGAAACCGCCACAAGTTCACTCGAGAAATCCTGGAGGCCCTTGCTATTGACGCAAAGGCAGACGAGTGTGTGTGTGTGCCTTCCATCGCACTACACAACAAGGAAGTTGAGTACCTTAGAGGGCCGCACTTATGGCGGACAGATGGAAGATGAGAAGATGCTTGGGTATAAGATTAGAAGAAGAACTCCTCAATTAAATCAAATGCAATGTAGATAAGAAAAAAAGAGGAAGTGAAACTCAATGTAGATGAAGAGAAAGATGATCTGATGAAACAGTTCCTAGTCCAGCGGTGTATGCCTTTCTTATCTCTCTCTCTAACCCTTCTTTTATGTTCAGCTGGCACTATATAGAGCAATGAGCCAACTAGCTCAGCTTCAAGCTTCACCCGCTCTAGTCACCACTTCTACTCAGTTTCAAGCTTGTTTCTGTAGTACATACAGATTTGTCTTAAGTTATTGGCTTGTCATTTTAACAGCTGAGTCTAGCAGCATCCTTACTCGTATGTATATGCTTTTGGTTTAATTTGAAACAATAAATGTTTTAGTACATGTACCTGACTGATTTCATCTTTGCAAGGGTAGTAAATTGCAATTATTTCGTCTCAATATGTGCTGTGATGAAAAGGAGCTTGTTAATTCTAGCGTTTTTGTTAATAGTGTGCAATATTGTGCCTTTCACAAACATTCTTTTCCTCAGTTAACGGACATGCTACGATCAAGCTTCTTCAAAAGGTGCATACAGTCAATTCTCTCCCGTTATGTGTATTGCGCACTGGAGTCCGGTGGTTCATCTTCTGGAAAACATTGCTATGTATGTGAAAAAGGACCTCCTCGAAGACCCAGGACGCAATATTTTGTTGCAAGTCTTAGCTTTTTCAGCCCTCAGAAAAGCCATGTCTGTAGTGAAACACTGCCTGTCGTTGGGTTTCAAGGAGGTTCCTTTCCAACACCCTTCTTTCAGCTTTGACTACCTGCAGTTTTGTTGGTATGCAAGTTTATAAAACATTAGATTCACATCAAAGAAAATGGTACTGCTACACTAGCAGAATATCCACAAAATGTTAGAAAGAACTTTTCAGTTGAAGACAAAAGTATTGTAATCAGACGCAGTTGCTACCCATGCAGTTCGCCTTGTTCACAGCAGAGGCGTAACTGCATGGGTAGCGGTTGCGTCTGATTTATAATATTTTTGTCTTCGTCAACTGAAAAGATCTTTCTAACATTTTGTGGATATTCTGCTAGTGTAGCAGTACCATTTTCTTTGATGTGAATTTAATGTTTTACAAACGTTGCATACCGGTTGTAAAGGTGTTTCTCGAATGTTCCTTCAATGTTAATTTAACGTTTTGCAAACATTAAATTTATGTTGAAGGAATGTTTCCTGTGTGTTCAAATAACGTATGGAAAAACATTAATCTAACGAACAGATAAACATTGTGGAAATATTAAATAAAATGACATTAAGGACATATTTCAAACATTTGGGCCAAACAAAAAAATAACATTATTATAATGTTTTGGTGCTACCTGGGTAGCTACCTGTTCCTCATATAACTACCTAGGCGTTCACCTGACCTCTGATCTGTCATGGACTACCCATTGGACCACGAATATCCGAGGCACATCCGGTTTAGATCCGAACGTCCATGACCCCAACGACCAAAACGGGACGTCCGAGGGACCAACGCGGGACGTGTATTTCAGGTTATAAATAACGTCCATTTTCTCTACTCCTGTGGATGTCCTCTAGATGTCCGCTTTGGGATTTGCCCGATAGATCCCGGGCATGATATCCTCTGGACGTCCATTGTAGAATAACATATATCACTTCGATGAGAGGGTCTAGGATAGTTCATTCCAAAAGCTAGAACAGCACTGAGCAACCGGAAAGGCTCAAAGTTTCCAAAACTAGCGAAAAGACAGCGAGTGTGCCGGCAAGCTGGTGGTAGCTAGCCAACCGTGTGGAATAAAGCCTCTACGCTCGCAGCATGCAGTCTCAGGTGTTGAAGTTGCCTCCCATGGATTTATTTCCTACCCTAAACTAGATCCGAAACGTGAGCGGAGCGCCACCGAGATGTAGTCACAGCTTTTATTGTGCATCCGAGAAGTTTTGTAATTTGTAACTCGACTTCATAGTGTTTCGAGGCGACAGAGAGACGTGACAGCGAGGAGCAAGTCAGGCACCGCTCCGAACAAACTTTTATAAAAAAGAAAGCAAACCAGTGTCACCAGTGTGGCCACATACCAGAAAAGTGGATGGAAGAGCTCGTACGAGAACGAACGCTACACGATACGCGCTTCGCTTCCACCCAGTGCTTACACCACACAGGGCAGCTCCATATTCGACGATGGGATGTAGCCAGTGCCGCGCGGTGAACCGTCAAATTATGCGACCGTGCGTAACGAGTTTAGTTTTAGTAGCCTTTGAATACCGTACCACCGTACTTTGGAAATATTTAGTGATTCTTTACCTTCTTTACCCGGTCAGATTCAATAACTTTAGCTCCGGCTTCGAAGGCGGCTCGTGCTTTTAGTACTTTTATTGTGTACTTTTATGATGACAATTTTAATACGCAAAATATTGGCCAAATTTTGTCACTTATTAATTTAATGGTGGTGCGTCGTGTTTTCATCCCGTGTGTTTTGTTTTGTTTTTGGAGTTATTTGCTGGAGAGGCTGCTAGATCGCAATCGTCATCAATGCTGTTTTTTCGGCTCCTCTGCAGCTAGTGCGCGCGCGAACGTTTTGGCGGGTTTTCCACTTCTGGTTTCGTCGTCTCGAAGATAAGGTGAGTATTTCATTGTATTCATTTAGTCCGATATGTATCCTATTTACGTACGAATTTGGCTATGCCGCCATTGCCTACTGAGGCATGTCGTAGCGTAGTAGCCCGCGTTGACTGTGAGTACTGTGCCACCATGCCTCAATCACGGCCGGCATACGCCTGCGAGAAAGCCTCCCGAGAAACAAGAACTTTAGCGCTGCTTGAGCATGCCAGCAAGGACATACAGGAGGCCGAGTGCAACCCCAGTGAACGTCGTCTCGAGCAACGTTCACGCCTGCCACAGCTGAACATGCCCGCGGATCCCCGCGGGGGATCCGCGGGCGTGTTCCGCGGATCCCCCGCGGGCATCAGGTCAAAGGGGAGGATCCGCGGGCACCAGGCCGACCAGGCCAAAGGGGACAAGATAATTGTGATGGTGCAGAAAGCAGTGCCACCAGATGCGTCGTGGAAACGATTTGCTGTGGCGGTGAAAGGGTTATTCGGTATGGACAATTTTATGATGTGATG